AAATGATGAAATATAAAGAAAGAAACATAAACTTTTAATTTGCAACACCCCCACCCCCGTGAATCGAATCAGATTCACCATTAACCAGATCCAGGACCGCCAACTTGGATACTGGCCGATAAGTTAGACCAGCTATCGTAGTCACCTCTGCTCGACGAATCTCGCCGTCCTTTCCCGGAAATACTCGCAATACTCGGCCACGTCGCCATTCTCTTCTTGGTAATTTAGGATCACAGATAAACACCAAATCGCCAATCCCCAAAGGCTTCGTTGGCATGCACCACTTCGTACGTCGCGTTAGTGTAGGTAGATATTCGTCAACCCATCTTTTCCAAAATCGATCTCGAAGTTGTCTAGCTATTCGCCACTGCTTGCGGATGGCACAAAGTTTCACGGGTGGTTCCGAGCAACTCGTTGTCTGAGCAGTGTTGGCACAACCAAGCAAGAAATGATTTGGCGTCAGCGGTTCTTCTTGCTGTGGCGTGATAGGTAAGTGTGTTAGCGGACGCGAGTTCACAATGTTTTCTGCTTCGATGAGCAAACTTTGGAATGTATGCTCCTTCGGTGCAAGATCTTTCAATGTATGCCGCAAGACTTTCTTGACGCATTGTACCATTCGCTCCCAGACTCCGCCTTCTGATGGGTTTTCCGGGCAATTAAAGACCCATTCTACCCCTTTAGTGGACAATTCCGCTTGCAACGCCTGGCAGTCAAACACATCTACAAAGCGCGCAACTTCGCCTGCTACTCCCACGAAGTTCTTACCATTGTCCGTACGAATTCTTTTTGGGACCCCTCTGCGATTCATAAAATTACGCATAGCTAAAATGCAAGCGTCTGTTGAAAGGTCATATGCGACTTCGAGGTGAATGGCACGTATTGACAGGCACGTGAACAGTGCCACCCACCGCTTCTCGGTTCGACGTCCGATCGTTATACTAACAGGGCCAAAATAGTCCAAGCCCGTAAACGTGAAGGGTCGAACGTAGGGTGTCGTCCGGTCTTCAGGCAATAAACCCATCATTGGCGGAACAGGTTTCGCGTTTTTTAAGACGCACGTATTACAGCTTGCGATAATTCCGCGCAAAACTCTTCTTAAGTTAGGAACCCAGTACTTTCTGCGAATTTCACAAATCGTTGCTTCGATATTTTGGTGAATCATCCGGATGTGCTCATGCGCAACGATAAGTTTAGTAACGGCGTGATTTTGAGGCAGGATTATAGGGCACCGACTCTCATATGGCAACCAACTGACGGCATCAAGGCGACTGTATACTCGGAGAATTCCTCTGTCATCAATGAAAGGAGACAATGTGCACAAACGGTTATCGGAGGGCAGAGAATTTCCGCTCTCGATCTGCTTCAGTTCTCTGGCGTAGGATTCTCGCTGCACTAAGCGACAAAGTAAATAATCCGCTTCTGCAAGCTCCGCTGCTGTCAACCCGTTGGTCTGCGACGAATCGATCCTTCTACGGCAATAGTGGAGGAACCGTATCACCCAGGCAACTACTCTTCTTAATCTGGTAAACGAAGAAAATCTATTAAAGTTTAGAACATTACTACTCACGACAATGAAGGCAAATTTTGTGCGAATCTCTTCCTCGTCATCTTCAGCTTCATCAGCGACGTCAGCGTCCTTTGGCCAGAGTTGCTCGTTGTTGTACAGAAACTCAGGGCCAGTGAACCAGCGGGACGAAGGACTGAGATTTATTGCCTTGTTGGGTCGCGTTGCCTCGTCAGCCACGTTTTGGTTCGTCGGAACCCATCTCCAATCGGACGGCTTAGTGACGTCGAGAATTTCAGCTATCCTGTGTGCCACGAACGGTTTATAGCGGCGGTGTTTACTAAATAACCACTTAAGAACCGTTTTGGAATCGCTCCACATAACACATCGGTTGGCTCGAACGCTATGTTCACTTATTATAGTAGTCATCATGCGAGTTCCTAACACAGCTGCTTGTAGCTCGAGTCGGGGAATGGTGAGCGGCTTAATGGGTGCGCTCCTAGTCTTGGCATAGACAAGCGACACCTCGATGATGCGATTCATATTCTCCGATCTCCAGTAGGCTGCTGCGCTGAATGCGTTCTCGCTGGCGTCTACAAATACGTGCAGCTGTAGTTCCCTAGATGGACCCATTTGAAAATAGTGGCGCGGAACTCTGCACTCAACAACTTTCTGCAATTGCTTACGAAAGACGCACCACATAGCATTGACTTCGTTGGGAACTGGTTCATCCCAACCTATACTTCGCTTCCAGAGCTCGCGTAACACCAGCTTTGCGGAGATAGTAAAGTGACTGAGGAATCCCAACGGGTCGAATATTGACATTACTATGCTCAATAATTCTCTTTTGGTGGGAATACGCTTGCCTTCGATCACTGACGAATCGACTCTATAAAATTCCAACTGGTATGCGAAACTATCATCCGGCGGTTGCCATAACATTCCCAAGACCTTCTCAAATTCTGCACCTTCTTTAGATAAGATTGGTAACGCTCTCTTCACACCACCTAGTGCTTCGGCGACCTTTGTAGAGTTCGACGTAAACTTTCGCAGATTAAAACCAGCATCCTTGTGTATATCTCGGACTTGTTGGGCTATCTGTATGGCTTGTGTTTCAGAATCGAAACTGTCCACGTAATCGTCCACGTAGTGGTATTCGGTGATGGCTCTGATGGCTCGCGGATCATGGGAGCGATGTTCTAAGGCGTTTTTGACTTTCACGTAGTGAGCTGCACACGGCGAACATGCTGCGCCAAACGTCATCGCAGTCATTTCGTAGACCTCCGGCGCCTTCCCGCGTTCAGCATCGCGCCACAAAAATCTCTGAGCACATCTGTCTTCTGGACGGATTAGGACTTGATGGTACATTTCCTGGATGTCGGCGCAAACCGCAAATGCGCCCTCTCTGAAGTGAAATAGGACCGATACTAACGGTCGATATTGCTGAGGACCTTTAAGCAGTTGTGAGTTCAAAGATACTCCATCAGTGGTAGCCGCTGCGTCGAAGACAAGTCGTAACTTTCCGGGCTTGCGTGGGTTAGCCACGGCGAAATGCGGAAGGTACCAAGTCCTTTCATTACATTTTACGACTTCGTGCGGTTCTAGCTTGCGGGCGTATTTTTTGTTAATGTACGTTTTAACGATGTTGCGATACTCTTTACCGAAGTTCTTGTTTCGCTCAATTTTGCGTTCGATACCGACTAAACGTTGGAGAGCCATGTTGTAGCTTTCGGGCAGTTTGATGTTGTCACGTCTCCACAACAACCCGGTCTGAAATCGTCCGTCAACTTTCACAGTAGTTTCTTCAAGCATTCTCTTCGCGCGTTGATCGGCTGCGCTCTTGACAGGCGGTGCTGCTTTCACTCCGAATGACTCAATGCTAAAATACTCGGCTACCATGTTATGGATCTGGTGATCAAAAGCATTGCTAATATGGAGGCACGTTGGACTGACGCGCGGAGTAATACTGCATGGACCGAACACGACACAACCTAAATCAGTGAAGGCTGCGTATGGGCCGTTGTGGTTCGACGGCATAGTTTTAGTGGGCAAGCCTAGATGACAATGATCTAAGCCGATTAACACTTTTGGCACTACGTTCTCATAAGGCGTCACTGGTATTCTGTCCCGATATCTGGTGGCGTTGCGGATGTCCCTTTCGTTGAGGCTCTGCATTGGTAAGTCAAGTTTGTCGACCCCGTGAACGTTGCGAAGAAAGTGGCGCTTCTTCATGCCTACGCCGCTTATGTACAGGTTGACTACTGCTACTTGTTCTTTCACAGCATTTCCACCAAACCACTGAATGTCAACTTCACGCGTGTGACCATGCAATCCCAATTCCTCTAGAAGGGATTTATCCATCATCGTTATTGACGATCCTTCATCTAATAGTGCGTATGAGTTCACACGCTTGCTCGGTCCATACAGTGTCACTGGAACCACACGAAACAATAAACGACGGGAAGCTTGTGCTGAACAACTGAGGACTGCAGTGCTGCCACTCGAGGAATCTGGACCAACGAGTTCCACCGGGCTGGCGTTGCCTTCGTGTAAAAGGCGGTGGTGCTGCCGTTGACATCCATGAACCATACATTGCTTACGGAGACGACAATCTCGCGTGGCATGACCTACGTTCAAGCAACTGAAGCATAGTCGACGACGTTTGGATTGCTCCCATCTTTCGGCGACGGTGGCATCTAAGAATTTCTTGCATTCGGACACCTTGTGCAAACCATGGCACATGATGCATTTTATCGAGCGTTCTCCGTTAGTGTGCAACACTGCACGACGTCTGGGTTCACGGCATTCACTATCTTGCACCATTTGGACAAAACTGGCAATCTCTGATAACCAGTCACTGAAGTTAATGATAGTAGGATACGGCTGAATCGTGGCAGAATACCTTGCCCACTCAAGGCGTTTACTAAGCGGTAATTTATTCACTAGTTCCTCCAATAATGTTGGATTGACCAAGTGCTTTTCTTCTCCAATGGACTGTAGGAATACGGTAAGATTTTTTGTCGCAGTAGCATATGGCACTATCTTTCCAATAGCTGCTTCGGAAACAAATGGCATGTCTCGTACGGCTTTCAGCTGGCTCCTTACTAGTTGTTCTGGACGTCCAAAGCGGACACGTAACTGCTCGACTATAGCTCCAACATTATTAGGATGGATCAAGAGAGACTTGACGCTCTCCCTCGCACTACCCTTCAGGCACTTGTTCAGGCGTTGGTTGTTTTCGAAGTTGGAATAGTTGTATGCTATTGTTGACTCAGTGTATGCAGTGTGAAACACTGGCCAATCTTCCGGTTGCCCAGAAAATTCTGGCAGGTCCATGAGCTTCCGCGGAGGTTGGATGACGCTCTGAGGGGTGTTACTTATCGCTTGGCTATATGCCGAGTGCGGTGTGATTGTAGGACTAATTACGCTTGATGACGGATTTGCACTCGCCATATGCATATGGCTTTGCATGTTTATTGGCGGAGCGGTATATTGTAGTCCATTTAACGAATTAGCTATCGTTCCGATGTAACTTTGCATGCCTGAAGTCCCGTTATGTCGTGTGATTACGTGACCGTTATGCGAAAAGGTGGAAGAAGCGTTATTCGCTACAGCGAAATCCCTTGCATCTAGTGGTCTGGAATACGGCAAGGCATATGATGTAATGGCGGAAGGCTCCAGTCTTTGTCGTTGCTGTTCACTCTCTGTTATCCTGGCTTGTGCATGTTTCAGCTGCAGTTCTAGGTTAGCAATTTGCCTTTGCATCAGAAAAAATCATGCTCTCCTCGGCGGCGTTAATAGTTGTCGGTGCACTTGCAAGAATTGGTAATACTCTGCTGGCTGCTGTTGGCGTGGTGATATTGCAAGGGCCGCTAGCCTGAGAGTTAGTATATGTACAATGCACTACGCTTCTGATATCATCTGGTACGGCTGGAGGGCGGAATGGTATCGTTGTAGTGACTGCGGCGGCGGTGGGGCTTTGGGATGCATTGGCGATTGATGCTTCTGCTACTGCAGCCGAGACTGTGGGGTTCATCATGATAGTACTGGCTGATATTTCAGTGGTTTTGTTGCATGCCTCAGTAACTTTGGCGATGTATCCTGTGTTTTGAGGAACTTGTGTAAGGTCCTCGGAATGAAGACGTGGACTACGGCGTACTGGCGAACGCTGCATTTTAACTGGTCGTGAACTTTTGGGGTTTACAATTTTAACGACGGCGGCTTTTAAAGGATTGCAAAGTTCTATCCTAATGTCGGCAGCTAAGTGGAATTCCTTCGATTCCTAATATTAAAGGCGCGGCTTCGCAAAATTGTTCCTTGTAACTTAATGGCGGCGGCTGAGTGGAATCCTCTCGATTTCCGATATTAAACGTGAGAAATAAAGATGTCGCGACGCAGTATGGAAAGGAAGCTAGAAATTTAAACTATTTA